AAAACTTGAGCTGTTTACATTCCACATTCATCGATAAATATAGCTTTAATTTAAAAAATGCGCTCTCTTAAAATTGTTTTTTTTACAAGTATTGAAAATTAATAAATATCTCGTTTCATTATTTTTATGCAGAATAGATGATTAAACAGATAAGCCAGAACTGAGGTGAATAACACCATTAATTGCATCCGGTCGCGATTATAATTTACGTCGTGTTACGTCCGCTTCAGAATCTGCTCGAGACGATGATATACGTGTGCGAGTTACTGACCGACGAGCCGGAAGGCGGCTCGGCTATGATACCTTTGAGGACTTTCCTGAACCTCTACCGATATCTAGCGAATCTCGATTGCAGCGGCGAGCGTCACCGCCGCGAAGTCGAGCCCGTCGATCCGTTTCCTTCCTCGCGCGACACAAGGTGCGTCTCAGAACTGTCGTCTGGCACGATCGATTCGACGACAAGCGCTTGCAGCTGCGAGTTCGCAACGATGAAAAAGGTATCGCCTTCCGCTAAGTCACGGTGCTTCCATTCCGGTTGAATAAAACATCCGGTCTACGCGTGATTCTAAGTTCTCGTTTATTAACAGAATAACTTTTTCTTTTATCAAAAAAATTGCCGCTCGCTCGCATACGGCGATCGCTAATGAGACAGGAATATTGCGTTTTCGCTATTCGATATTACTATTGGAAAAAAAAATTTGCAATCGTAATGAGAATCGTAAAATGATACAAAAATTAATCAAAAAGAAATATGTGTGCAAGGTATTCCAAAATTCGTAGGAAGCTAGCATGTAATGCTATTATTTATAAAATATTAATCATTTTTTGCTCAATGAAAGCATCGGATAATATTCGTAATGTTTGATTTCGACAGATTACAATAGCATGGAAACGCATTCGCGGCGTGTTCGATCTGAATAGCACGGCTCTGACGCACAGATTTGATATTTATTATAGGAACTTCCTACACAGTAGTATTATTTTGTATCTAAGTACAGATTTAGCCGAGAACATTCCGCATCGCAATTTCGTAGTTATAATGATAATAAAGGTATAACATAACCGCCTTTCAGAACAGAACAATGCGGATGGTTCGTATATAGCTGCATATTTTATAATGATTTAATAATTGCAAAGTGCATTTCCATTCATTTAGCGTGTATTTAAAAGGAAACCTCTTGCGACGTGTTAATCTTTATTTTGTACCATTTTGTCCTTAATTATGACACAACGATTTAGTAATATTTAAACAACTAATTAATTAATATGGCATGCTATATATAATAGTTGTCCATTTTGCATATGAAAATTAGATTAACATTATATCTTACTAAATATATCACCATAATAACGTATATATTAGTTTTACTTTACTATTATACTAAAATGGATTAAAATGATAAAACCGGGATGTAGAAATTACAGTTGGAAAAATACTAGCGTATAATGACGCGGTAAATAATATTTAATGAACTTTTGAGGTAAATTTCGCCAATAAGTTTGCATATGCGCTTGCAAATAAGCTGCTTTTGCTATACAACTCCAGACTATTAACCGCTTCTCGGTCTCACAAGTAAAGCTACATATTTTATATATGCATTTACGTTTCGGACTACTCGGTTTTTGGAACGAACGAAATTTAATCGGTTCATGAAGATTACAAAAAATATTAGCAACTTCATTCAACTTTGTACGGAAGTGACTCAGAAATTTTCAAATTAACGCATCATGATGGATTTTACGCTGCAATAATATAGTAGGATTATCGTAGCGCTGTGTATAAAATACGTGCATTAGATTAAACCATGAATATTAAATACATTTGCCAGGATATATTTGATGAGATATCGGTTTTTTAGTACAAGCTTCTAATAACTAGTTCATAAATTGAAAACCTTGCTCCACATTTTGCCGAACTTTAAAAGCAAATCTCGAAATTTCGACATTAGAACTTGAAATAAATCCAAATAGCGCAAATAGAATGGAATAGAAATTTTAATATGTACATAGTATATATACATGGAGTTTGTTCTAAAAAAATTATCTGCGATATCTTTAGACAAAGTTATTATCGTCAATTTGGAATTGATTTATTTTCAACGAAAATATCGCAAATATTAAATGTAATAATAAGCAAATTTTTTTATTAACATTGAGAGTATATTAAATCGGGACAGATAATTTGTTTTTCTGTCTATTTCGAAACCTTTTCTTAACATCGATTTTATCAGACGATCGAATCGTATTCAATCAAACACATGTCAGACGGAGACAAGCAGCACTGATGAGGATGTTTGCGGGGAGGCGTCTCGCGAAAAGAAACCTTTGGAAAGCCTCGAGATCTTGAAGGATTACAGAGATGACCTAGAGCACTCCGACGTCGACATAGTGTCGGCGAGACAGTCTGTCGCCGACGATAAAACCGAAATTGAGATCGAATCGATTGATCGTCACGTTCCCCAGGGAGGAAAAAGCGAGGTATGCCACCGCATACGCGAGGAAAAGCCAGAAAAACGATCAGTCACTTTGAATTTTGTGGCCGGGCGATTACGTCGTAAAATATACACGGCGTACCTCTCATCGTACCTCTATCGATATATCTCGAAAGTGGACTTTGATTTTGCTTGAGTCGCTTTGTATATCAGTCACGTAGAAAAGCATTTAGATATTTGCAAAATATCTTGAAAATTGAAAAAAAATTTCTTGAATCTCGCATGATTGATACGCGCACGAAAATTATTTATTTTCGCCAAGATATATCGTAATAAATTGTTAAATTCGAAATTCAAGTGGCTTTACCTTTATGCGTCGTATATCAACCTGTAATCGCGAGTGACAAATGGTTGAAGAAAACATTTGTTTAGTCGGCGATCGTGGCGAGCATTGAAGATCCCGCCATTTCTTCGATCATCGATCACATCGAGCATTACCGCGATACCCACGACAGTCCTGCGAGACGCGACGACGACGCGCGGGAGACGGCCGATGATGCATTCGATTTTAATTGGGAGGACGAGGGGGGAGAGGTCGTAGGGGAAATGGAAACGATCGACCACGAAATTACGACTGCCGCGGTCAATTCTGCGAGCTCGCAAGACGAGAACTGCCAATGTCTCGATAAATCTGAGAGCGATCAAACGCCACCGGTCGATCTGCTGAAAGAATTTCTCAAGAGGATGCAGACGGAAGTGGAGGCAGGTCGTTTGGAAACTATCTTCCGGGTACCTGGAATCGGTCCGCCGGTATCGCCAAAGCGTGTAACAGCCGTTGGGCTGTGGTTGGCCGACTGCGCTCGTCGCCAGCAAGGTCTGATCGGACCACGAAATATTCGTCACTTTCTCTGCCCGAATCTCGATGATATTTCGGAATGCGATTGCAACGCAATTGGCGTAATCGAGTGCTAAACAGGTTTTAATCAACCATAAAATTTTTATTCTTACAAGTTTTTATTTAACATTAATGACGCATTTTTGGAAAATTGTGAGAAGAAAAATTTGTTAACGCTTGAAAACAAAGTTTTATCTTGCTTTATATAAAAAATAAAAAATTATTGTGTTCAATAATCTTTAAAAAAATTACGTTCAGTTGCAGCTAAAATATTGTTATATAATGTAAAAGTTGAATAGCTTTAGGCTACGAGAACAACTTGAGAAATTCGAACAATGTTGAATTGTCGCACTTTCGATATTTATGATTTTCTGCTTAGTCGCGTTTGCCACGGTTTCATTCCGTTACAAGAAAGAAGTACACACATATAAAATCTATCTTATTCGCGGCGCGGCGAAAGTGATCGATATTCTTTGAGGGCACGTGTCTGTTACTTTCCGTAACCACCCGTTCCATTGTACATTTTGTCAATTCGCCGACTACTGTATCGACAGCAACAACTCGGTAATCGATTATTGGTCGAGTTATTATTGGTATCACGGTTGCACAATATTGACGTATGCCGGGCAGCTCCGGGGTTCGTAACCTACTCGCCCGTCCGTATCCTTCTCTCCTATTCTATGAGCTTACCTTCGATACTAGTCATTATCATAATCCTGCTACTGAAACAACAACAAGCACGTGCCATTGAATGCGTTACTCTTACTTTAAGAATGACGTAAATTGCGATTGCCATTTTGATCGTGGGGAAAAATTTCAGTCAAAGGCCGCGAACAAAGAGATCGCAGAGCTTTCGTTTGCTCTCGAAATGAAAGTGCGCTGGTCCATTTAAATCTACACTACTCTGAAATCGTGCGTTCCACTCTGAGAGCTTGCCACTGTGAGTGCCATTTCAAAATCTCTGTCATTTGTCCGTCACGGAAAAAACGTTTTTCACCCGTCGTGAAATTAAATTTTTGGAACTTTCTTGTGTGAAATTCAGTTTTTGTCGAATTTCGCTTGCGGTTATTTGCGGGCTTGTGGTCGATTTCATCAGCGGTAAATAAACTGCGGATTGCTATTCATCGGATAACTAAAACGCTCTCTCTAATTTCTTATCTAGATGTTTTGTCAGTTGTAAAATGATAAAACAACTAGTCGTATAAATTGCCGCTGATGTATCTAAAACAATTTAATGTTTAATTTAATTCGATCACATATCACACTCTACTTTTTTTTGTCAACATGTCCGCGATCGTTAATTTATTGTTTTATCTTTCATTAACTCGCCTGCGGCGAGGTTTTTCACCGCACTAAATTAGTCCGGAAGCTTTGCCAGTTGCTTCGTCTACTTTTCGACGCGTCGCGTTGCATCTATTACGATAATCAACGAGGTCCCTCGATAATTCTCCCTTCAGGACGCGGTCGCGTTATCTCGACGCGAATTAATTCCGTCGCAGGAAACGTAAATGTTATCCGCCGCACGACGGTCGCCTTTTTCGTACGCCGAGCGCAACCCAAGCGATTAGATGACTTAGAAACGAAATGGGGTGCATGAACAAATTTCCTCTTTCGCGTATAAAAGAGGATTTTTTTCCACGTCCGTCGTAAAACGATCGTAGGATTCCGTCGCGATGACTTCTACTATCATGTGGTTTTTCGTACTCTTGTTACTGCTCCAGAGCGTTCACGGCTGGCACATTGCATTTCCGAACAGCAGCGACGTTATCAGTAATGATCTTCGCGAAGTGTCATTTCAACCGGCTTTCATATTTCCAGGTGGGATTTATTAAAATATCCTTACAAGTACAATCAGTAAAAACTTGTTTACTTTATACACTGTAAAAAAAATTCACATAATTTTTTACCTCTGATAATCCAACATTGTTACACACAAATGATTTTTACGGCTTTTTTTCTGCTAATTTTTTTGGTATAGAATTATACGTACCAAAAAAAAAAAAAAAAAAACCAGCAGTTTTATGTAGTCAGTGTTTTTAATAATGCTAAAGTCATTTTTTGTCGAACTTGATATTTCATCGTTTATTTAAACTTCATCAGGAACGAAATGGTGTGGCAGTGGTAATGTCGCGGACGGTCCGGATGATCTAGGGATATTCGCGATGACCGACGCATGCTGCCGTGAACACGACAATTGCAATGATATAATTGAGGCGACGCAGACGAAGCATGGTCTGACGAATACCGCTTTTTACACAAGGTGAATTTTGAATCGGTGCAACGTTCTTTGTGTTAATTTTTTTTTTTTTAATAGAACATCTTTTGGATAAAGATTTTAAAATGCTCTTAGGAAATGTAAATTAAATTTCAATAGCGATTTATCAGTTCTTTGCGTAATGCATATTCAGAAAAGTCCGACTTACTTACAAGAATTAAAGTTTATCGATTCTCGATATTTTTCAATACTTGGCGTACAGATATTTTTATGCCGCGTCCATATACTCTTCTCTTGTAAAAACGTGTTAACTTTATTAGAAACGCGATATAAATAATAGTGCAGTAAAAAATGTTACTTGTACATTTACTATGTAAATTACTATGCAAAAACGTTTTTGTTCTTTAATTTTTAGCATATACGCAATTTATCGTAGTTATCTTTGTATGAATAATACGTACGCACGTTTATGCGTATAAATAATAGAAGTATTATAAGTACGATCGAGGTGATAAACGGAGCTTTACACTATTGAATTATCTAAAAGATAAAAAAAAATGTTTCGGTTTCCTTTTCTACGAAACGCACAGGTATATTTCGTTCTGCACGCTATTATATATATCATACTGTTGTCATTTCACCATGCAGAGACATTCAATAGCAATTGTAGAAAGAAGTCAACAAACTAGTCGTGCTCTGTGGCAAGTCTGTTGAGCGAGTTTCATGCAACTGGAGCAGTTACCAAGTTTCGTGCGTGCTTTGCTATAGTAGCGGCTGACGTTTGACGTTGATAAATGATGTCGTGCATTATTGCAAACTTTGTATATTAATTACAGAGAAATTTTTCTTACGATGTGCGACAAAGTGGGAAAAAAATGTTTAGCTTACCTTATAGCATATCGAAACACGTAGTGTGAAATAAATCATAGCACAGTATTGATCGTTTGTGATAAAAAATATTTATAGTGGTTGTAATAAAAAAAAAAAAATACGTTGAGGAAGAAATATTGTTACACGTTAAAGACGCAGTCGCTACCCTTTGTTCGGCCCGCAGCCGATAATTCCTGTTAATGTTCCGGGATTTAAGACAAAATGGAGGATTTAAAAGAAGGTTGAACTAAGCTCGTAATTTGTAAGCTCTACTTTAGACACGCGACTTCATGCTTCAAGTGAATTTTATTCCACTCTTGCCCCGAAACCCCGTCGATTACTCGCTGCAACCTACTTTCAGTACGGCTCACCTGCTTTCAATCGAAAAATGTTTCTCGCGAACAATATCGTCCCGTGTTTTCGACAGTTACATAAATAATTTTGAATTATAATAAGGTCAAAGTAATTTTTTGTATAATGAGTAATCTGATAAAGCGTCGTGAAATCGCAGGCTACACTGCTCATGCGACGAGAGGTTCTACGACTGTCTCCATAGTTCGGAGGAACTCGTTAGCACGAAGGTCGGCTTCCTCTACTTCAGCGTGTTAGACACGAAGTGCTTCCGCGAAGACTATCCCATCGTTGGCTGCAAACGGCATTCACTGTGAGTCGTAAATGTATTAAAGCTTCACGAGTAGAGAATCAGTGCTCGACTTTCAAATGGGTCAGACACTCGAGAGATTCATCAATCCTTTCGCAAACCTATTTAATATAGTATATATGAATCCATGCTGTCGCATATTTACGCATATTGCAATATTTGTTGCGCGCCAGAAAGTGGCGCGTCATATATTAGTTACTATTTTTGAAAGCTCTGTCATTTTTTTATAACACTTGGTTTTAAAATATAACATTATAACATTAGTTTTAAATAGTTTCTATAAATGCTTCTTGATTATCTGTTTAATTTTTTCAGTTATATTTTGATATGCATTGAGATTCATGTGAATGCGACATTTTTCATTCGAAATCGACTGTAGAATTTAGTGGCGAAGTATTTGTATTCCTTTGCTAGACACAGTATATGTAACGTCAATTCTTTAACACAAGCGTTGAAAATGTATGAAAATTTTGCGTAAACCGTAAAATATGTTGCGAAAAGGCCGCGGCTTATCGCGAGTATCTGAAACTTTTAAGAATGATGTGATAACGACCTCTTGGCAGCATTCCTAGACGCTGTTTGGAGTACGAGCTGGACGAGAGCCAATCGAAGATGTATCAGTGGTTCGACATTCCCACGTATTTTCAAAACGACCACCGGACAATCGTCGGACGTCATATTTGATCGTTCGATTTCGACGCTTCATTTGCTGACCGATAGAAGTCTATTTTACGACAGTACCAATCCTTTTGGGGGAAACGTCATGCACGTAAAGTTGTGTAAACTTTCAGTCGACCTACACCTATCAACGTTAGTTAAATAAACGCCAATAAAACCGCTCTTATGACCATTTCATTTCTGCTGTCTCTTGTTTTTGTTTTTTTTTCACCGTGCTTTAACGCGCGATGATTCCGCCGTTTGCTTAAAGCCGTACGCAGTACACGAAGGATGTGAAATTGTGGAGTGGACTATCCGCGAAAGTGGAAATTGCGATGGTCGTAGTCATTAAATGCGCCAATCAAAACTGCGGATCGTAAGAGTTTTATTTTTGTGGTTTGATACGATATGATAAACAACAAATATATCTAGTATCGACGTAACAAACAGCAAACATAACTAGGCTCAAGTATTCATGTTGATTCTAGTTAAAAATAACAAAGATAATAATAACTTTCTATCAATATTTGAAATTTTTATGCAACGGAGTTATTAGTTTTAAGGCGTGAAATGTAGAGTCATTGCGATTAAAATTCACAAGTAATCCTTTTCCTAAATTCTTTACGATACAACCGCTTTTATCCACTTTGCTTTATTCGCTTCGCAATATAGCAATATGTTCCGTTGAAACTACACTAAATCATTTCAGCGTAATCGCCTGTTATCAGATGAAAAAAAACAGAAGCTAAGTTAGCACGGAAGAAGCGAAAAGGGCGGTCCGAAGGGTGGCCGGGGCGGGAGATAAGCGACGAGAGTTGAATCGAGGGGCTCGCTTCTCTCTTCGCCTCTTCGCTTTTCCGTAGCTTTCCTCCATTTTACGCGAGGCCGTGCGGGCAGCTGGCGCTTACTCCGGGATTTGCTCGGAAATTTATGTTCGGATGGAGCGCAGCCGCGCCATCCCTCGCATCGCCATCACCTCTCTCTCTCTCTCTTCTACCACCGATTTACAACTTCTCCACTCACCTGCGCCAACTTTCGGATGCGCGTAAGCGCGCGCCAACTTTTCCGGCGACTCCATTCTTCGTAGCGTCGTGTACCATCGACGCGATAGGAAAAATTGTCGACTTTCGCGTTGAACGTCGTGATTTATCGTCGTGAAAATCGTGCACGCGTTGTCGTCGTCGTCGTTGCTATTGTTAAACGCCAAAACGCAACGTAAAGCAACGCTAATAAATTTCAGAATATGGAATGTGTGCATGGAAGATTTATAGAATTGAGAAAATAGAGAGCAATAAAAATATTGTGTAAGCGATAAGAAAAACGTATATCATCAGAACACGTTTGACTTGTCAGTATCAAGATGTTAACGTCAGTTGTTCCTTCCTTGTTGTTTCAGACGTGGCGGCGTCAGTGGAGGTGCACTTCGAAAATAAGGATGGCGGATTCTTCCTGAAGCATTCACCGCGGTTTTTGCCGGCCCGCGGCACGTCGGACTCCGTTCCGGCGCTATCGACGGGCGTGTCGAGCAACAATAACAATGCGGGAAGCGCAATACCGTCGCCGCCGCCCGGCTCCGTCCTCTCGATCGACAAATTCACCGTCTTCCAGACGAGCGAGCCGGTGTCGGTGCGGGCCACTTACGGGCCTTTTAGCACCAAGCAGACCGTGCCGGCGCGTTACATAGTTCCTGATCCGCTCGACGCGTTGCCGGCGCCGGAAACGCGGCGCAACCTGACGGCCGCAACCATATTGGACGCGCAGGAGCTCGGTGCCCGTCACCTGGACATGTCGGCCCACTTGGTGGGTAACAGCGTGCCGCGCGATTCGCCGGTCCTCAGGGTACTCTTCCACGCCGGCAGCGAGGCCGGCGGTAGGCGTCAGCTATTGATGGCACGGCATCAACGGGTCTGCGTGGTGCTGCACGCCAGCCTGGCCAGCCCGTCGAGAAGCAGCGGACGCAGCTACTCTTCTTCTTACTATTCCTCCTCCTCCTCGTCCTCTTCATCGTCTACTTTGTCGCTCACAGCCGCCTGCAGCCCCGACGGCGAGAACGGCGTATGTCTCGCGCAGATCACTATACCAGCGGATTGGTGGGCACCGCTGCCACCGCCCGACGCCTCCGGTCGCATCAAGGTTACCAAGAGTCTGCCGCGATTGATTCAGGTTGCTTACTCCGTGCTGGAACCGCGAGCGGAAGAAGGGGACTCGGCAGCGGCGGCGGTTCGGTCGACAGCATCGGTGGATCTGGATTTTGCAGACCCAGAGTGCAGATTCAACCTGTCACTCCTCTGGGTCAAGTGCCGCTGGCACCCAACAGAGCAAATTACAAAGAACTGAAGGCGGACGACTTGTTGACGCTGCTGGTGCCGCACGGACCGCTCTATCCGAGGTCCAGATTGCACATCCCGGCCTTCCTGCATCCCGCTAAGGCGACGGACCCGCGGCAGGAGCAGCCGCCGTTAATCATCGCGGTTTTTTTGAGGTAAGAAGCTTTATAAATTTTGCCCAAGTCGCGAATTGTATGCCGTTAAGAAAACGCGATGAATTTAATCGCGGTAAAGATTGAAATCTGTCAAGATAACTACTTACGATAGTTTATCAATTAAAAATAGATTAACGATAGCGGGGAAACATATGTTAACAGTTTCCGGAGTCATTTATATTCATCAGTCAACAAATTCTTTTGTGAAAAGCGTTTTAAGCTCCGCTTAAGAGACCATTCTTGCGCGGCCGGAAGTTGGTAGGTCGCGAGCATTCCGTCGGCGGGAGCTAAAATTTCCTAATTGGATGAATTGTCAAGTAAGCTGGCAAGGACAAAGTTGCAAGCTTGTCTGTTGTTAACACTCGGAAGTTCCGCAACAGCGACTAACGCGGAGAATACACTCGAGCACGGGACCGGCAGCCAATCTGCGTGAGAAACGAGTCGTTGGCTTTAGCACGTTGTAAAGAATATGGCCGATGTTGAAGTGCTTTTTTTACGTCGTGTAATCGGGAAACGCTTGAACATTTTATAAGGTGAATACTGAGGTTCCACGCGGAGTAATGACGTATAGGTATAGATAAAGCGAGCTATAGCGGACTGTAAGTCACGCAAGATTCATATCGTTTGTAACAACAAAAGACTTGCCGCTCCATAAAATCGTACCGTTGAACTTACATAATTAACCAGTTATCGACGAACATGCTGCGTGTAATATCTCGAATATCTCGGAACGGATTAACATTTCCTGGTGACGTAAGTGATATCTCGAAGAGAATATTTTAATTCGCGTATTTTTAACTAATATAGCTTACATTTTTCTATCGGATTTCTGTGGGATTTTTATTTCCGCATTCTTATTATTATAAATTTGTTATCGACAAATATAAACTTATTCTTTAGTTAAATATAATTTGCTTATTAATTGCTTATTAATTGTACAAGGATATAATTTAGATTTTTAACTACAATTTTTATTTACACTGCGAAAAAGATATTGATAAATTTCTTTTCAACCTACTTCTAATTCGTTCGATCTTATTTAAATCTCTTCAATTTATCATTACACAGCTTATTCAAGCTTCTCAGACAAACACGAATTACAAGCTCCTGTATACTGTTACATGACTCCAAACTGCATTTACACGATTAATTCGTGTTCTGAATAATATCGTGAAATCTAATATCACAGTTTAATTGAGATATAAATTTTTAACAAGTTAAGTTAATAATTAAACTTTTAGATAACATTTCTCTCCGTTAGTTATTTGTCGCAGTAAATCTATAAAATTGAACGACTTAAAAACACATGAAAACGTAAATACATTAATCTATATTTTTTGTTAAAACATCACTACTTATCGCTGTTATATTAAATAACATTTTATTTTCGTTTATTAAGTCCTTGACTCACAAATAATTTTATTATTTTGTATCCAAATTATCGTATGACGCATTTGAACAGTGATAGTGCATGAGATAATAACATCGATAGTTAGACTCATTGCGGAGGTCGCAGGCTATCAAGAGGCTTCGTAATTTTGCAAAAACGATTTTAGAACAGAATTGCGTAGTTTCTACATGAAATTTGCATAATTAAACATTCTTTCGATAGTTTTATAAGAAACGTAATATTTTTACAAAAGTCATTTTTTCATAAATCAATGTTTGTTATCTATTTTATATAGCTGAAGTCACTTTATTTTAAGTGATTACGACCAGTCTTTTCACATCCAATAATGATCAGATATTATCAAATTAATAATGCTATAATATTCATCGAACATTAACACAATATTAATTTGGTAATAGTATCGAATTACTGCCGCTGTGTAATTTCGACCGAACAGTTGATCTCAAATTCCCGAAAAATATTTCACATACAATATTAGATCGCGTTAGCGTAATTTCTTATTCAATATTTAATGAAATATTATAAATTAGGAATTTTTAATTACGATAGCAGTTATGAAGGATCACAAATGGTATAAATACAGTTACATTTTTATATCAGAAATCTAATTCTAGTGCACGAGAATTTGGAAAAGAACACGCTCGTTCGAATCTCTTAAATACTTTAAACGCGAATTACTACGCGAAGAAGCTCTCAGGGGAAAACGGGCGAGCGAAAATTTCTTCACGCGTTAAAGAGCGCACTAAGAGCTAATCGTAGCTTTTGTCCGCGTCGAGGGGGAGGCTTTATACCGCTTTTTATGTCTCGCAACCTTAATCTAAGGCTCTTACAGCGTCGCGTTAAACTGTAGATTTCCTACGCGCCCGCCTCTTAAGCCGCGTGCTACTCCGACCATAGGTCTTCGCCTCTGATATTGCAATTCAACACTGCAGCCGCTATACATAGTGTTCTCGACATCCCGCACTTTTTCGCAAACGCCGCAACACGAATTTAAAAAGATGTCATTCACTTTTATGTCGGCGAGAGAAATCCTTTTTTATCATTATATTAAATCATCAATATTTTGCGATATATTTAGCCTTATTATAATTATGAGACATCGTTGGGGAGGGCTGTGTTGATAGAAATTAATTATATAACGTCTTAACCTTATCTTTGTCAGTTCTTCAAACTTTTCTCGAAGCACGAATGTACGGATGTTGCCGATTTGCGAATCGCTTTATCCCTGTGTAAGTACAATCGCACCACTGCCTCTATCGATCGGTCGTCCAAAACACGAACGGTGGCAAGAGAGGTCATTGAATAAACGATAGCTGCGAAGCAACATTTGGTCATTCGTCAATGTGGAAACGTGTACACATACACTCGAGATCGCTTTCGATAATGCTCTCCGGCCGTCGCTTCGCACATCGGCGATTTGTATGTAAATGTGAAATAGGCTCGCGGAAATAACTTGATCTGGAACTTGTAATTGGCTTGCTTCTCTAACTCGTCTGGTCGATGTACCGAACGCGTTTAACAATGACCGAATATCCACTCCTTTCGTGTTGCGCTTCCAATCCTTAAACCTCTCGTTGTGATTGTAAATACTACGATTACTAGCGACAAAAGTGTCTTTGATAGTTATTCTGGTTTGCTCTTAAAATATTTATCATAATTTTTAAAATATCCTCGTGTTTTTTTTTCTCTGTCATATTTAGTACCGTTTATTTCTGTCAACTAAAATATAATTTTTTCACGAGAAATATATTACACACTAGTTGTAAATACACAAATTTAATCTTTAAAGGCACGAATAAATGATAAAAGTATAAAAGATTTAACATTTAAAAGCTATAAATGAAATTTTATCAAATTGCGTTTTGTGTGCGTGTGCGAGATAAATATAAATATAGAACAGCGCTTATAGTAACAAATATAGATAACACGTTGCTAGAGCTACTATTATCTGTTTTGTTTATGTTTAATGGTATTTTTTGATAAGAAAAGTATTAAGATACGTACGAAGAGATTGAATTTTTTTTTTTCTCTTAATATAAATTTTTATTCAGAACTTTGTGCATTCGTTCGCGATGTTGCGTCAACGGGAATAAATCGAAGTTTTATATCTAAAGTTTTTGCTATGTGCGCTAAGTGCCTTGCTGTAGTGCTGTTTTCTGCAGTTTAATTCTCTCTCAGCTTGATTTAATTAAGACTCTGGATCCGTCGAAACGATTAAGATTGGAGATATGTAAATTAATTGCCGGAGATGAGAAAACAAACTAGAGGACAACAATGGTAATTACATTTGTTTTTGCGCGTTTAAATTATGACGCTCGACGTCGGGAACAACTCGAGTTCTTGGATATGCAACGTATGCGTATCTGCCGTTAGTATGATTGTGGAGTGCAAAATTAATACACCGTGTGTGATCTGTGGTATGCGCCGCAGTATGCGGCACAGAATGCGCCTGCAGTGGAAACCATCGTACGTTACATAATGTTTGACGCTGGTAAAATTTTCAAACAAGGCATCCGCGAAGATCTTGATATTTTGCCAAGCATTTAATCTAATATTTGGCTCGAGTCATATGATATATTTGGCTCGAATCATAAAATATTAATGCACATGCCATTTTCTACTAAGCGACGTTAAAGAACTACAGAACATTTCTTTTAGACGAGACGTTCACAATTAGACAAGGAATAGGCGTCTGTTTTGCTTCTTTGAAAATTTTTTTCTACTTGACCGCAAATGCTTTTCGCCCGATGTGACGCTAACGTCTCTTTTGCTAGATATTCGCGTGCTGCAAACGCACGCAACAAATCAGACTTCGCCTCGGAGCGACATTTCGCCTCAGGAATATTTTATTCCGGGACCTCGGGACGTCTCGGAAAATGTCACGTTTCTCGTAGACGTTTCCACGCTTCGAATTTCTTTCCGCTGATCCGCATTATGGTAACACGCGCAAGGGGAAAAGGTACATTTTAGTGATGGCAAACGAGCGATAAGAAGCAGTCCCCATTTCTCTACGGAAAAGGACAAATTGAGTTATTATGGGCGGCACCGGCGGCGACCTTTTTAAATAGGAATTAGTCGGCCGCTTCTTCAACTTCGGCAAATACGCCGAAGCAACTTGAAGAAGCAATATCCGGTCTCGCTTGGACCGTGTTCAGCCGGAAACTATACGGCGCGTCCCCAAGTTTCGTATCAGCCACTCGCGGTGCACTTTTCCACTGTGAGATCCGCTTACAGCCGGGCGACGTTGCATTTGCGCATCTGAAAATTCTCCTTCCAATCTCAACGACCGTTTTAATGCTGCAGTCGAAGTCGTGATTTTGAAGAGATGCAATAAGCCACAATAATAATACATTCTTTGAATAAATTGTATGCCGCATGGCAAACAGTATCCTATATTGATGTTTTCTTTTTCAATTCTTAACAGTATTTTTAATCAAAAAAAATTTTTGGTTAATGAAGATTATTATTGTTGTGTCTCAGTCTCTCGATAATCCGATCTAAGCGGAAGCGAGAAGTGATCGAGTTATCTAAACAAAAATATCGAGCCATTCGAAGAGTAGAGCGAGATCAAATAAGAGTGTTGAGTGTA